CGAGGCAGGGGCAAGGCAGGGAAGGACAGGCACGGGCGGGTGGGCAGGTGAGCGAGGGAGGGGAAGCAGGGATTGGCAGGGGTAGGGCAGGGCAGGGACGGGCGAGTGGGCAGGTGAGCGAGGCACGGGAGGCAGGGATTGGCAGGGCAGGGCAGGGAAGGGGGAGTGGGCAGGTGGGCATAGGAGAAGGAGCGTGCAGGTGGTTTGTATCTGATTGTTGGTTAGTAGCAGGAGAAATCCCCGATTTATTTGTATGATCCTTCAGTTAGTTTTAAAAGTATAATTTACATTTTGACGTTCCTAATAGTTGCATTTTGATAGGTGTACTAATGTCATTTTTTCTTAGTGTGTATCTCAGTATAGAAGGCTATTGCCAGGGTTGTGATAGAGCATACTGTGCAAACTTCTGTGAAATTATTGTAGAATTTGAATTGTTCATATTTCATATGATTTTCGTGTGAAAGAGTTATTAGTTTACATAAGGACTGCACCTGTCAGAGACTAAATCCCAAATTCAGATAAAAAAAATCCTATCCTGAACCTGCAAGCTATCACAAAGATCGCTGTATTGCCCAAAAACCTTCCAAATACAATGGACTGGGAATGCTCTCATTCTCTGTACTTTCTAATGGAATCCTTTTATATACTTTAACCTTGTGTAGTAATACAAACCTAATAGAAATATCACAATAATGAATTATTTATGTCTAGTGTAGTTCTTGATGCTAAGTATCATTAGTGACTCAAAAAAATTTGGTCGTGTCAACATAATGGCTATTATAAGCACTCTAAAATTACACCAATTAATTACACTATATACAATGAGAATATATATAATTTTAGTGAATTTACAGTTTCACTTAAGCAATTATTTTCGCATGTGACTTCTGTTTTTTTGGTGATAACATGTAGTGCTATGATTAATCTTTCCTGTCGCAAATGTCTAGTTTTCAAGTTCTTTTCAAGCCATCTCTACAGCTCATCCCTAATGATCGAGGTTGGGACATGTGGATTTTTTTTGGGGGGGCGGGGGAGGAGCAATGTGAAAGTAAGTAATATGTTTTTCAGATAAAGTTGAAAATTAACAATTTTACATCAGAAAATCCATGAAAAGGTACATATTGCATGTTTGGCGGAAACAGTTGCAGCAGTGGCCATTGGGAGAATAGCAGTGTTGTCAATGATCTGCTACATTTCTGGCTGTATTTGCTACATTTAACCAAACCTAACCAAAGTTTACCCTACCTTTATGAAATAAAAGTAATATACCAATCATCAAGTCCACTATTATTGCTAAATGTAGCAGATCGTTGGCAATACTGCTAACATCTTTATGGCTGTCACTGCAGCCACTGCCACTGAAAGTCTAATTTGTGCCTTTCCATTGATCCCCCCTCCCCCCAAAATAATGATAATAAAAAGGAAAGAAAAAATAGAATCCTTTGGGTCACCCATGATGGGGATGAGGGGGTAGGCATAGCCTGAAAAGAGACATAGCTTGCGAATTAGTCATTTGCAATGGTACCATTGCAAAAGTTCAATCAAAGCACTACATGTATCACCAGAAAACAAGAAGCACATCAGAAAATATATATATATATTAGAATACAAGCTGTCTATAATATCCTTTTTAAAATAAAGCACAAACGTATCTAAACTTTAACTGAAAGATCTTTTAAGCATTACATTAAATAGAACAAGAGATGTATTTCATCAATTTTGATTATATCTTCATCAGAAATACATTGTGTATTTGAGATAAAGATATGATCAAAATTAGTCAAATACATCCCTTAACCCCTTGGTGCCGGGTGACGCCGATCGGCGTGTAAACAAAGCGCTCGAAAGCTGGCGTGCAGCCAAATGAGCCGGCAGCGCGCCAAAGCGCAGCGAGCCAGTGATTCGGGCAGATGTCCCCTACTCACGCGCTCAAAGTCGGCGCACCGCCTTTGTTTGTACACCCAGCGCCATTGGGTTAAATTGTGAAGATATTAATTCTCTTTCAACCCTTTTTGTACATTTGGAAGGAGCACCATCCATTCTATGAGGTATTCATAATTGTTAGAAATAATTTTTGGCATTCTAGGAATAAGGGAATTAACCCAATGCCGCCGGGAAAAACGAACAAAAAATTGGAAAATGCCGTGCCTATTTTATATGTTTTACGTGAAATGTCTGCCGATAGATGGCTCTGCTAGCGCCTGATTTGATATGGCGGGAAAAACATGTTTTTCACTAGTGCTATGAAAATCGATGGTGTTATTTTTATCACAAACATTATAATTTTTATAATGTTTTTTAACATTAGTAACAGCAAAATAAGATAACGTAAAATATTTCGTAAATCAAAGAAAGTGGGTAAACGGGCGAGACGGGCTGTACTCGTAGTTGGCTCATTGGTGATTTAGTACAAGTGTTGCCATCTATGCGTAAAAACAATCAAACAAGTACTCAAGGTGGGCATAGCACATACGTACACGTCATACCCGTCGGTGTTGGGTTAATGGATGGCCAGTGAATGAGTGAAGGGCTCAGGTTAATTTCATATGCATCAGTGTGAGGGTGTTACTGTTGTCTGTGTGTTTTTTTTTTTTTTTTTTTACAGACATTGCAAAAGTAGTGGGTTGTAGAGGTAATATCATGAAGTTATTTTATTTTATTTATTTATTTATTTAATATTATTATATATATATATATATATATTTTTTTTTTTTTCAAATTTGCTACTATCTTATAGGCATTTTAAAGTTGATTCTGTATCTCAGCTGAGAAATCTAACTTCACTAAATTGCAACTAGTTCAACCTTTATATAGGTAGGTATTTTTTGTGACATATGAGAGAACAAGAAATGCAGAGTCTCATTCCAAGGCCTCAAGGCCTACGAAGCAAAAACAAGTAAAGCATAAAAAAAAGAGAGAGAAAAACAGAACATCCTTGATATTTTTTCTCCCTGGGTGAAGGCCATGAGTTTTTCTCCTCTACTTCCCCTCTTCATATATATTTTCACTTTTGCATTTTTTGTCATTTTATGTTTTATCTTGTTTTTTTTATTTTTTTATTCTACTTAATTTGTCATAGTGCATTAAAAAGTCATGGTTCCCTTGCAGTTGTAACTGGAGCAACTGATGGCATTGGTAAAGCTTATGCATTTGAGGTGAGAAACTGATTGACTAATATATGAAATAACAAGATTTGTGAATACAAATGTTTATATGTTCTTACATTATAATCAAACTGTTGATCTTTTACTTCAAAAATGACGATGACATTTCAGCTGGCACGACAAGGAATGAAAGTGGTCTTGGTCAGCAGAACACCCTTCAAATTACAGAATGTTGCTGCAGAAATTAGTAAGCATTGTGAGAATGTCCTTGGTGAACATGAATGTGTTTAGTGATGAGGTGGAGTTGGCTTACTCGTGCATGAAAGGGGCGCTAGTATTTGTATGCTTATAAGTTTGCCTCTTGTTCTAATATGAGTTTTAACTTTCTCTGTATCTTTCTGTTGGGTTACTATTCTTATCATTCAGTCTGTGTGTATGCTTGTCTCTCTGAAAATATTTAAATTTGATAAGAATAAAATTTAGATTTTAGTTATCATATAAAGTTGTCATTTTATCATTCTTATCATGTGCCAGTTCTCATGATGAATAGGTTTATAAAGTATCTTTAAGAAGGTATGAGCAATCTTTAATCAGTGACCCTTAATCAGTGTAGGGTTCTTAGATTACTGCTGCCATAGTAATAGAGCCTCTTCAAGGTTATGCTGAGTAGACATGTGACTTGGCATATTTTTTTGATGATCAAGTTAACTTACAACCCAGATGTATGTTATCAGTGTGTGTGTGTGTGTGTGTGTGTGTGTGTGTGTGTGTGTGTGTGTGTGTGTGTGTGTGTGTGTGTGTGTGTGTGTGTGTGTGTGTGTGTGTGAGTGAGTGAGTGTGAGTGTGATCAGCTAGGAACTTTCACCTTGCAATTTATTCTGTGTCAGGTGTCAGGTCCTATAATTATGCCTGTGCACCCTTTACCTCATTTTCTTCTTTCTTTCTTTCCCTTCTGTCTTTTCTTTTGATGCTACTTTGTTTGAATATATTTTTTTCTTTCTTCTTCTTCTTTTTCTTCTTCTTCTCCTTCTCCTTCTTCTTCCTTTTATTTTATTTTCTTTCTTTTTTTTCTTTCTTTTTTCTTTTTTCTGTAACAAAGCTTCAGCTTCAGTATATTAGTTACAGTTAGTCATAAAATAGAAAAGTAAGAAAGGCATTTGGTCTCTATTTAATATCTATCATAACCTATTGTAGATGTTGCGTATATTGATTAATCCTATTTTCCCTCTGGCAGACAGTAAATATGGAACCGAGACAAAGATCATTGATGTGGACTTCACTAAGAGCGACATCTATGACCGCCTGAGGAAAGAACTGGCTGGCATGGACATCGGTGTTCTTGTCAACAATGTGGGAATGAGCTACGATCACCCAGAGTATTTCAATAACCTGGAGAACGGAGACGAGTAAGTGGTCTTTCGTTCTTCTGCTTTCGCTCTGTTTTTATCATTTGGGGGGAGTGAATGTGACGCAGGGGAGTCTACTTTTTGTACTGTTTCTTGTGGATTTGTTTCCCTGTTTTCCTCTGAAAGGTTTATGTAGGTTTTTGTTGGAAGGTTGAAATGGTGGAAATGTTATGATAAATAGACAAATGAATTGGTATTATATATTCTCTGTCAAGTAGATTTAAGCTGTATTCACAAGGTATATGCAAGGCCCATTGTTTTGTTTTGTTGATTTTGTTTACACATAGATGGCTCCACAAGCGTATTGTCACCATGGAGTCAATTATCTGACCCATTTACTCCAAGATTTTTTTTAAAAAGTAGTTTTCATATCCATTGCCATTATTATGGTTATTAATATTTTGTTATTGTTATTAGCAATACAGTTATCACTATAACGCTAGTACTATTAGTTATAGAAATTCAAACTTTTCTCTCTGAGAGGTCAAGG